CACAAAAATTTTTCTTAATCAAAGCGCTTCAGGCATGGAACCTAGTCAGATCAGAAAGTAGATTATGGATATCTGTGAGTGTTTGAAAGCGGAAGTTTCACTCTTCTTGTGGGTTACAAGCCACAGATTCTGGGTGTTCGTGTGATTATAGGTGATTTTAGGATGTTTGTTGACAGTATATTTTTTGTAGTAGTGTTGCAAAGTGGATGTTCATAGGAGTTTGTGAGTATAACTCGTCAAATTGTGGGCATTCTTAAGCTGAACGATAGTGAGATTTTGAAAAGTTGGGTATTCACGTAGATTACAAATGCCCATCTTGGGTTGTAATTTCTTCTTGTGTTATATTAGATTTTTTATTTTTCTCTATCTTTATCCGATATACCGAGTGTTCGGAGAATCACTTATCAAAACAATATTGTATATCTCGCGTATAGTTCTATTGAATGAGCTGATTTTTTATACCGATAATAGGGAACACTTCAAAGTTTTTGTTCATGAAGACAAAGTTCGTAAATACTCTTATAAAGTAGTATTGTCAAGAAAAAAAAAGTATTTTTTTTTCATTAACGAGGACTTTTCATCATCCAGGACTCTTTCTCTTACTTTCTAAAAGTTTTCTTGGCATTTCTGAAGAAAAATGTAGTAATTGATACAAGTGTTCAAAACGACCTCTTTTTTTCCGTATTAAAAATTGAGATGAAAGGTACACAGAGTAAACGGACGCAGTTTTACAATTTTTACGATCATCAAATTTAATATCAATGCGTCTAACTTTTTCAAAAGCGTCAAAACAAAATTTAGAAAGCAAGAGAAAGAGACCTGGATGATCAAAAGTACTCTTTAATGAAAAACAATTAAAAAAATCCTACAGATTGTTTTCTGAAAATGGAAAAGGGTTTTTCTGTGTATGTAACCTGAAAATGCTACTATATAAGAGTATTCACGAACTTCGTCTTCATGAACAAAAACTTTGAAGTGTTCTGTATTATCAATATAAAAACCAGCTTATTCAATAGAACTATACACGAGATATACAATCTTTTTTTGGTAGGTGACTTTCCAGATACTCGACATATATATACATAAAATATATTTGTTTTTTAGCATTTCAAGTATATAAGCATCTTTTGTCATTTGCATTTACGTTTAAATGTGTCGGTTAGTATCACTTATTTTTTTGGTGTCTCTTCATCTTTGCAATTCACAAATTCCGTCATCTCCATATGGAAAAACGAGTGATATTTGTCCGAAAGCGAATAATAATGAATATTATGTCAATGGATACAAAGGAACGCCATATATCTTGAAACCATTTCAGAATAATTTTGTAAATCCATCGATTCTTTCTCCATCATCTAAAGTATGTCGTTCAGATGGACATTGCATGTTTTCTTATACAATTGATGTTATTGATGCCACAGTAAGACCCTTTGATCAAAGTGTGCCTTCATGTGCAAATAAACCAGCAACAAAATTTTTAACTTATAATAAGCAAATACCAGGGCCATCAATCCGTGTTCCTTCAGGACATGAATCTATTATAAGGTTCAACAATAAAATTGGTAACTTATTCCCAGAAACTTTTAGTCCCTGTACTGGAAATAGAACAGGCAGACCGTTTAGTGTTCATCTTCATGGTTCAGCAAGTCTTCCGCCATATGATGGATGGGCTGAAGATGAGACTTGCTATGGTGAGTCAAAAGACTATGTATATCCAAATAATCGTCCAGCATACTGTTGGTATCATGATCATGCACTTCATATCACAGCTGAAAATGCTTATCTTGGTCTTGCTGGTTTGTATTTGATAAGTTCAAAAAAAAAAGATGGTGGGTGTGGTGAACCATGGAATTTAGAAGATATTGAAGAAAAACATATTATTCTACAAGATAAAGTACTCGATGCTAACTGTCAATTATTTATTGATCCATTGAACATACATGAAACAAATCTATATGGTGATATTAATATGATGTCTGGAATACCGTTCCCTTTAATGGCTCTTGAACCAAAATGGTATCGTTTTAAATTCGTAAATTCTGCAGTATCTCGCCCATATTTGTTAAAAATAAAAAATAGTACACTTCAGGATGTTTCACAAAATATATGCAAAATTATTGCAACTGAAGGAGGGTATAGAGATACACCTGTACTATTTCCTACAGCAGGATTATTAATCGGTATTGCTGAAAGATATGAGGTTGTATGTGATTTTACAAAGTTAAAAGGTCAAACGCTATTTATTTGGAACCATAAAGATGATGTTTTCATGAAAGATGTACCATACTTTTGTTATAGTCATTTAATTGCAAAAGTTCAAATATCTAAAATAACTCCTGTTCCATCGCCGGAATTTCAAGAAAACATTTCTACTCCAGAACCAGCGAAGCCAATAAAACGAGTGTTAAATAGTTCGCATATTAACACAGCAATTCAAATGGCAAATAATGGTCAATTTCATAGAAGAATGGTTTTTGGTAGAAGCAATGGACACTGGGTAATTAATGGTGAAACTTGGGACACATTCAAAATTGCTGCTGAAAATATTGGACAAAATACATGGGAACTTTGGTTATTTGAAACCGGTGGTGGATGGTTTCATCCTGTACATATGCATCTTGTTGATTTTTATATTATTAAACGTGATGGTGACGGTGGATTAAGGAGTTATGAGAATTTTTCACCAAAAGATGTATTATTTTTAGGTGAAGGAAATAAACTTTGGGTAATAGCAAGATTTGGTGCTCATAAAGGTGATTACATGTTTCATTGTCATAATCTTATTCATGAAGATAATGATATGATGAGAGCAATGCGTATTATTGATAGTCAAAATGGACTCACTGCTTCAACAGCAGAACCATTTATTTATAATGATTTTGCAAATGTTATTTACAGCAATTGGAACTATAATAACCCAATGTTGAATGACACTTGTGCAAAACCCACATACAAAATGCCATTATTTGACTCAACTTATATCAACAACATGTTGAATAATAATGTTTATAGAATTTTCTATCCAACTCCTAATAGTACTTTAAATGGTTTCACAAATCCTTGGAAATCTGATTGGTGTGCAACATAAGACCATTCATTTATAATAAAAAAAGGAACATCAAGATTTTAATTCCCTTTTCTGAAAGAAAGGATCTACCAAACAAAACTTTCATTTGTCTGTCTGTCTGTCTGTCTGTCTGTCTCTTTCTCTTTCTGTCTGTTAAATCAATCGAAAAGAAGCATTTTACAAGTAGGTGAAAAATAACAGATATCAACACCGAAGTAATGTGGACATACGTAATCAAGGCTAATGTTAGTGTCAACAAATGTCAATCTATGAAGCTAACCTGTTTCTATAGTTTTGAGTTGTTTTCATTCCTCTTTGATGTCTGTTGTGCTCTTGTCTCGTTGATCATCATTAGTAGATGATAATCCTCTTTTCCTTTTGCATCATTGTTTTTCTCTATTACATTGTTTGATTTTTTTATGTGACATATATTTATTTTTGATTTTCTTTTTCTTTTTTTTTTTGTAATTTTAGTTTATTTTGTGAGAGTGTGTTAGTGAGATTATCACAGTTATCATTGCTATTGTGATTTCCTTCCTTAATCTTTCTTTCGTGATCTCTTTCGTTGATTGTTTATCTCGTTTTTTTTTTTTTTCAAAATAAAACATCCATTATCTGGTTCATTTGATCATCATTATTCATTCATTATATCATCAAGATACGGTAGAGGGTGAGGTGAGGGTGCATATATGAATTACTACAAACAGTTTCATCCCTCTTCAAAGAACTTCGTCAGGTGGCAAGATGTCTAGTTCGATTCTTAAAATTAAACTAAGAATCAATTCGAAATCAAAGTTATTAAGTTGCCGAAGCAAATATAATATTATTTTGTAGTAGTAAGTATATGAGGGTGAGGGTGAGTATAAGAAACAAAGTAGAAGAGTCTGAAAGAAAGTAACCGTAATTACTTGTCTACGAAAATACATCTTGGTTTTAGAAAGTGTAACGACACGAATACATCTAAGAAAGTATGAAAAACTTATTGAGAAAGATCATTAAATCGAAACAGGAGTCGAACTTGTAACTCCCGATATCCGACCGATTGTTTTGCCAGTTAAACATTTCGAAATTCTCTCCAGCAAAGAAATTCACTGTATATTCGGTCATCAGTCTATAGCCAGAGCATATCAGAACATTACTAAATAAAGATTCACTTAGTTGAACTTTTGTTGCTGCACGAGAAGGGTGATTCAAACGAAGAACAGACTGATCTGTATATATTGAAGATTCAAATCAATCTGTTAATCTCAACTTTTGCTTTTCAGCAATCGATATTGAGGTGTGAGGTGAGAGTGAGTTTACAAGTTAATTCCAAGCTACTTACGACGATCGCTTCGACCTTGCTTTAGTATCATCATCTAGTAAATTACAAATCATAATATTCTAGGGAGTCCGGAATTTTGGCCCAAGGAATTTTCGACCCGAATTCAGAATGATGGTGTGAAAGTGGGGGTTGAGGAGAAAAAGCTCGGGTCGAAAATTCCTTGGGCCGAAATTCCTGTAACCCATATTTGGTATAGAGATTTATCTCAAATCAATAGAAAATTAAAAAGAGTAAACAAAACTCTCAATAACATTCTAGTACTAAGATAAAGAGGGTGAATAGGAGTTTGAAATATTTTAAATTCGAAAGAACTATCTATATTCCTTTCAGTTGTCCACATGAAAATATTCATAGTATTAAAATAAATACATTTACTTGACATGCTCTATTAAGTACGAAAGACGAAATAGAAAGAATCATTCGAGCAGGATGGAAATCGAATCCACACCATCCAATAATCGGTTAGCTGCTCAACCAATTAAGCTATCCAATCATCATCTCACCTATTGAAGTAATTGTACATTCAATATTCAAATCAATTATATGAATATTCCAGAACATTAACAATCTTATTGATCTTTCTTCATCTTTTGCTGCACGAGTACTATTATTTTATTTTGACTCAGTAGTCTGTAAAAGAAAAGGTGTTATACTGAAATTTTCTGGATTCTGAATTTGGGTACCATTTTATGAAGCTTATGAGGTTTTATCAAAATCTGGTTCTATTTCGAACCCTTTTTTTTTGCTGCTCCTGAAAAAAGATTCTAACCAGAGAAAAAAACAATGTAGTTAATATGCTTGATCGACTATTGCTACGAGTAACGGTTTTTTGAAAACATAGCTAAGAACAATAATTCAATTATCCTTTGTCTGTGAGACCGAGTACCGCAACACCTGAAAAAGAATCTATACGAACTCATTTATCCTTGTAGTCACTGAGACTTGTCGCCATTTAAATTCCAACACACATTTCATTCTCATTCCATTCTCATTCCATCAAAAATGCTCTTTCCTGTTACTACGATCCTAAATGAAAATCATAATAATTTATTTTAGAAGTCAAAACTTGTCATTGCATTGTTCACTGACATGAATTTGAATTAAAAAAATCTATCATTTAAATTTAAACTCATCATTTCATGGCTTATTGACATAAACCTAAGCAGAAAAAGAAAAATTTATTGTTTAACTTTAAACTTACGAGTCAGTTGTTCCTCGACATAAACCTAAATAAAAGAACGAAGTTATTATACATGGTATCCCACAAATTCGGTCGAAGAAGACACTTAATTATCTCTTTAACTGTTCAAGTGATTTACGTGCGGTATTTATAGTTTCGTTTCATATTCATGAAAGTTCTATTTCATATCAATTTCTCTATAACAAATATAAAAAACGATTACTTACAAAAACAATACTCAAACCTACTCTTTTCAACATATGTGCAAAAACACTGCATAAATTTTATTTTGAAATCTTTTTGACTTTATTACGGATTTTAATATCCAACTTAATACGATGCTTTGTCGATTTGTTTCGAAGAAAAATCATCGAGTCACATTAGATCAAGTGAACGTTATACTCATTGAAATGAATTGTCTCTTCTATTAAGGACTGATGCAAAAGTCTTGGCACAAATGTCGATGCTTGTAGTATTTCAACAGAAAGTGCTAGAGATCTCATTCTTTCACCATTAGATAGACCAAAGTGTGTGCTTTCAAACACACTTTTTGAAAAAAGTTTTTGATGAAGTTCAGGTTTTCAAATTTTGAATTTTCAAAAACCAGTAAAAACGGCTTGTAACTTTTGATTTTTTTTTCGCGCTTTTTTTTAACTTAAACAACAGTATTCTTGTCAAATTAATAGATAATGAGCTGAAATTTTCCGCGATTCAAGTCTGAACTGTAGGCTTTTTAAAAATCTCACTCCGAAATTTGTACGTATCCATGGTAACCTGCAATCAGGGGTTTAAGCAAAAGCATGGCAGTTTTCGGGGTTTTGGCGCGCAATTTAGGTATTTTTAGGAAGACAAAATTTTTAAATTAGTCCAAAAGATGTAGTTTTTCAAGACCTTTCAGAATCCGTATGAAAAACTAGGAATGAGCGTTTTCATCTCCTAAAAATCAGCTAAACACTACTAATGAACAAAATAGCGTTTTGCCGCTAATTTCGTCATAATTACATCCACTTATAACTTGACCAGACTATGTCCGACCGAACCACATTATTTTTTGAATTGTAGCTACGGAGCTACTACATCTTCGTATTACAGTGAAAAACTGTGAAACTTACACAGAGGTGTGTTATCGTAACATTTCCTAATTTCGCATGGTTACAAGGCGTTTTTAGTGGATTCTGAAAAATTAAAATTTGAAAACCTTAACTTTACCAACAACTTTTTTCAGTAAGCGCGTTTGAAAGCAGACACTTTGGTCTATCTAATGGTAAAAAAATTAGATCTCTAGCAAGACTTTCGCATCGGTCATTACACTTGCTTGGAGAAATATTCTTTAAAAATTACAGACTTCATCACTACGATGATGAAGACTTTTATGTTTGTAAAATACTATAAGGTTCATCTTAGATAATCTTCTTAGTTCTAAAATGAAAAAAAGTTTAAACGTATAATAAAAAGTTGTTCCCAAGAAAACCTACCGTCAAACAAATTGTTCAAACAGTCGAGTTTGTAACATTGAAACGTATATGTTGACCTTGAAAGACTGTCTAACAATATTGATAGCTCTATGTGTGAATTTTTTTCACTCGACTATCTGGCATTTTTTTAACATTCTCCTCACGCTTGTTACAGACAATTTTAAAATCGATATTTACGAGATATTTTTACAGGTATGCTGAAAAAGGTAGGTTTGAGTATTGCTTTTGTAAATAATCGTTTTTTATATTTGTTATAGATAAATTGATATGAAATAAAACTTTAATAAATATGGAATGAAACTATAAGAACATCAAGTAAACTACTTGAACAGTTAAAGAAATATTCCCATTTCTTTTTCAACCAGAGGTTGGGTGTGGGTAAGGATCCAGGGAAGAGACACACCCACTGATGAGAGTCTTTAACAAGGTTGTAATCTAGATCATGGAAAGTTGGACTCACTGTCACCCACAAGTTAGATTTTCTTGTAAATTTTCTTGTCTTTGAAGACCTTCTTAGAAACGATGATGCAGATTCGAATGATTTATCTTTGTTCTTTGGATCATCTGAATAATCATTCTAAGTCTAAAGTACCTGATAAGATCCTTAAGCAAGGTCGAAATCTGGATCTTGGCATGCTTGAATCATCCTCAAGGATTGAAGAAAACTCCTCTGATCTTCACACAAAGACAACACAGATCGATGGAAACATGACATTCTCATATTGTTTTCTCTTCGTGGTGATGCAGCAATATCGTCTCTCATGTCTTTCTCACGTACTACCATCAACATACATAAGATAGTCATGACATCCACAGCTAACTACTCATATTCAACATTGCCGTCTGTCTCTGACACGGATACATGATTCACTGTTCATTATAAACCCACTCTTGGTCGCAGTCAATCTTTAAGAGAGCAACTTGGTCGTACTTTTCAATTCATCCAGTCCATCTTCTTCAAACACACATCATTCTGTGTGGCAAACAACACACCATCCTCACTTTGATCAATGTGAGCTTCACAACACCAGAGTGAATGCAA